GAAGCGAAAGTCTTAAGCCAATATCTGATTCTAAAAAGCTTGGACTAATATGATTGAGATTAAGATATTAAGCCAATTGTTTACAAGCTAGCATCCCACCCACTGTTAATTAACCTGATATATTTAAAACTAATACTAATCTGTTTGTTACTTATTATCATGACACTGATTCTTCCTCTCAACAAACCTTATTACTTCTCATCAGTTGTGATAATCTAGGGACTGACACAATTGTTTTATGGAGATGACAGAAGTCCATGTGTCATGTTGAGCCAAATCTCTTTCAATCTTTTACTGACCCAAAATTCTAAATTATCAATGATTTAAAATGGGGTTGATGAAACTTGAAATTCAGTTCTTAGAAACATATCTCTACACATCAGATCAATAATTACATCAACTAGACATCATCAGACACCAGCATCAGCAGCTAAAATCAACATAGGGAGAACGCCCTTTACCCTCAGCCAACGAAGGCAGGTTGGAGACCTTCATACATCTTTCAAGATGTTACAACAAGGTCTAGCAACCAAGTAAGGAGTCGGCATTGAAACAGATAGATGTTGTTAATATACTACCAAAATTTCAAATATAATATTAATTATTTAAGAAATATAGACCAAAGAGCAGGGCTACTAGTTTCGAATACACCCTGGCAGGTCTAGGCACCAACGTTTTCTGTACGACCGACGACCGAAGGGAGTGAGGGGTTCGAAAGCTTTTGTGCCTAGACCTGCCGGGGTGCATTAGAAACTAGTAGCCCTGCTCTGAGGTTTATATTATGATTCAAACATGAAAACGGGACGGGCGGACGGAAGGACAGAGGCACAATATCCCTTCAGAACTTCGTTCGTTGGGATAATGAGCTGTCATCATTTACATGACATGTTCCAGTGGCACTATTTAGCCTGAGGTAGAGCTGGATTTGTCTGCCAAAATTACCTGTACACATCCAGGCCTTGTAATGGCTTTACATTTGGTACTTTTGATTTGGTCCTTAACTGGGTCTCTATCACAAATGTTTTTTATTTCAACGTCCATGGTATATATAGACATTGGCTAAAAAGACAATTCTACAACATTTTCCATTGAATCTTCTATATTCAGCAAAAGATAAAACAAAATCATCATTATTAAAGCAGTTATAACAAGCCAAAGGGTGAACAGAATCGCACCCTTGAACAGAATACACTTTTCGGGATGGAAAATTCAAAATGACCACCTTAACATTTACCCAGACTGCCTAAAAACTAATCAGTTCTAAACTTTCCAAAGAAACATCTCTAAAATTTTAGGATGAATCCATGAAACCTGTAAACAACCCTCAAGAGCAAGTTTAAGGTATTACTTCACAGTGTATCAGCTTTTTTTCTACAATTCAAATTTTTCCTGAAAAAAATCCTGGTAAAAGATATGGTTATTTTAAAAATAGATTTCAGCAAACTTTATATCAGGAAACAATCTCTAATCATGAGTTGATCACTTGCGGTATTCCTCAAGGCTCAATTTTGGGACCCCTGTTTTTTATATTTTTTATTAATGATATTTATCTTTCTTCTCCGACACTATTTTTCGTCTTATTCGCAGATGATACTAATTTATTGATCAAAGGCAAAAATCTACATGACCTGACAGAAACTTTAAACACTGAACTAAAACATATTGAGGAATGGCTGGTCACAAACAAATTATCACTCAATGCTAATAAAAAAATATCATTTTTTCCTCAAGACAAAAATATTTAACGCAAATAATATAAAAATCTATCTAAATGACAAACAACTTGAACAAGTTGATCATATTAACTTTCTTGGAATTATAATAGATAACCATTTGAACTGGAAACAGCATATTGCTTCTGTTAATGCAAACATTTCTAGGACAATTGGTATTTTATATAGAGTTAAACAACTGTTGAATATCAGTGGTTTTATGTGTATCTATTATTCACTTCTATATTCTCATCTTATATATGGCAATGTTATTTGGGGTGAAACATGTAGTTCATTAAATTCTCTATATCTTGTGCAAAAGAAATTCACCCGCATTGCAACAAACAGCGATTTTAGAGCTCATTCCCTACCATTATTCAAACAGTTAAACCTTTTAAATATTTTTGACATACACAAACAACAGAAATGTTTATTCATGTATAAATAGATAAATAAGCTTGATAACTACCAGAAAATTTTTCCTAACTTTTTCAAAATGGTCCAGGCGAGACATGATCACAATACCAGAAACAAGGATTCTTATGATAAACCTAAGGTATGGACGAACTATGGCATTTCAATGTTAACTTTCACAGCACCAACAATTTAGAATCGATTACCAAATAAGATTAAATCTTCTCGAAGTGTTCCCATCATGAAAAGAGAACTGAAAAAGTACTTTGTCAATAATTGAATATCATTCGTATACTTTATATTTTGGGCTCTATGACACAACATTCACTTACCACCCATAACAAGCATTTGCACACAAACAGATCCCCCTCTGTTTCTATGTAGGCAACTTACCACCCTGTCTGGAATATACACAATTTGTGTCACCCGCTCATTGTATGTATTTCAAAACTTAGCTTACTGAATAAATAAATAATAATAATAATAAAATAATAATAACTAGACTTTGGAAATTGAACGAAGTTCAATTTCAGACTCCAGATCTAGACTTTTTTAAGCCCAGTCATCTAAATAAGCCGAGTCATCCAGAATAAGCTGAGTCATCCAGAATAAGGTGGATGGATAAAATAGGAAGGTAGGATAGGATAGAATGGGAAGGAACGATAGGATAGAATAAGAAAGAAGGATAGGATAGAACAGAATAGGAAGAAAGGATATGATAGGAGAGGATAGGAAGGATAGGAAGGAATGGATATGAAAGAAGGATAGATAGGAAGGATAGGATCAGATAGGAAGGATAGGATCAGATAGGAAGGATGGATGGATGAATTTTTCAATATTTTCTTCTCTACTCTTGACTTTCTATCAGGATACCATCAGATCAATTTTCCGAAATTTCAAAACATAACTTCCGAACCGGAAGTCGGATCGAAATTTGATTTAAAGATTCGGATTCCTGACAAAATTCTACTGCTAATTCATAACTCATACGTTAAATTTGGCGAATTTTTATTTTGACCTACTTTTTGGACACGCCATAACTTCGGAACCAGAAGTCGGATCGAAAGTTAGTTTGCAGATTCGGATTTCTGAGAAAATTCTATTCTTAATTCATAACTCAAACGTTAAATTTGGAGAACTTTTTATTTTGACCTACTTTTCGGACACCATATCTCAAAAGTGGGTCAAAATACTTTCTGACGGCAAAAGGCTAACGCTATAAGCACACTCTTGGCTACATGTATACACAATTTCGAAGAATATAATTAAAGTGTATTTTGACCTAGTCATTTTGGTGTCCAAATTTTGAAGCTATGTGGCTTTTGAGGTTCCCTTCTTTTAAAGGCTTTGATTATATGAAGCTGAACTCAGTCTACATTTCGTATTCTTCACTTCAAAAAAATATTTTTTCCCATTGACTTAACATGGGCACCAAATTTAGCGATTTTTGAGCTTTCAAAACGCCATAACTTCCGAACCGGAAGTCGGATCGAAATTTGGTTTGCAGATTCAGATTCCTGACAAAATTATACCCCTAATTCATAACTCATACCCTGAATTTGGAGAACTTTTGTTTTGACCTACTTTCTGGACGCCATATTTCAAAATCGGTAAGAGTAATTAAAAAAAAACAGGGACATTTATGAAAGGGCTTTTTCTAAGCTACATGATGAAAAAAAGACGAAGACGTTTCGATAAATAACGACGAAGATAATTGATAGAATGTTGAAAATGTAAGATTTGACCTAGTTCTTGACCTTTGACCTAAATAAAAATTGACCCAATTTCCGAGAAACTAGATACTGAACCTAAATTGACCATATACAGGACTTGACTCAATGTCTTCTAGTTAAGGAGAAAACGTGGGTAGAAGAATAATAATAAAGAAGAAGAATACTGGCAAAAACAATAGACTCCAGATTGACATCTGGAGTCTAATAATACTGATGTATTACAAAATTTGTGAAAATTGGAAAGATTGACCATTTAGTTATTTCTAAAAAAAATGTTTTAATTTAACATTGCTCTCAAGGGGAAATTCTTTTTTATTTTTTAAAACAAGCCTTCACAGAAACGATTTTAGGATGAAAAATCCAAAATGGCCGCCTTAACATTTACCAAGAATGCCGAAAAACTAATCAGTTCTAAACTTTTATAGGTAGAAACATCCCTGAGAATTTCAAATGAATCCCTCAAACGATTTGGCTGGAAACCTGTAGACAAGCCTTGACAGACAAGATTTTAGGACGGAAAATCCAAAATGGCTACCTTAACATTTACCCAGAATGCCGAAAAACTAATCAGTTCTGAACTTTCATAGGTAGAAACATCCCTGAGAATTTCAAATGAATCCCTCAAACGGTTTGGCTGTAAACCTGTAGACAAGCCTTGACAGACAAGATTTTAGGACGGAAAATCCAAAATGGCCACCTTAACATTTACCCAGAATGCCGAAAAACTAATCAGTTCTAAACTTCCATAGGTAGAAACATCCCTGAGAATTTCAAATGAATCCCTCAAACGGTTCGGCTGGAAACCTGTAGACAAGATTATTCGGGACGCCCGCCTGCCTGCCCGCCCGGCAAACTGATTACAATATAGCACCTTAGGGTGCAATCTTTTGAGTCTCCTTTTTTCCAGTCACCCTGTACAATTCTGTTATTTAATAGGCAGGAGAGTTTAGTAAGAGAGTGCATGACTTTTTCTGGATGCTTTTTTCATATTATTTAGTAAAGAAATACCTGCCATGCATGGAACAAATACATGTATATTTCCCTTAGTCCATGGTTAGATCCAGATTTCTCTCATGATAGACCCTATATCCAAAAACTCCCATTATAATTCTCAAATGACAGGCTATGTATAGAAATGTACCTTTAGACTTCCAAACATGATGCTTCTCAGTCCAATGATCAAACCATCCAGTCCAGAACTCCATCACCATTAGAGGCATGTCTGGCTGCTTGATGTTCTTGAAAATGCAAACAAATGTTTTATTTATTTGAAAACATATCAGTAGGCAATTCTATATTCTTTGAATATCTGTGTCAATTTCACAAACTGATATTCCACCTAAATAGAATGAAATGTTAGTATAGTATTATTCACTGTTTCTCATTCTTTAACGAGAAAAACAGCAACTCCACGAAGTTGCAGATCCCAACGACACATTTTGATAATTAGTAGCCATTTTTAAAATTTCTTCTTGATCAGAGCATATCAGCATATGAAATCTGTACCAAAGCCAGCCACTGGTTTTTGGGTTATCAAAGATTATGTTTTTTTCCAAAAAATGGTGGGCATTTTGAACATTTTTCAACTGCCATCTTGGAAATTTCTTCTTGAGCAGACCTCCTTTATCTCTCTAAGCATCAGCATATAATGTTTGAACCAATATCTGATTTATCAAAGATAACATTTTTTACAAAAAATGGTGGCCATTTTGAAATTCAAGTGTCCTCTACAAAATTTCCTCTTGACCAAATTTGCTTTGTCCTGTGGCATCAGCAGTATATAAAATTTGAACCAAATCCATTGACTGCTATTTCAGTTAGATTATGTTATTTAGGTGGAGCTTACAGGGTAATTGTCCCCAGGCATCAACATATAAAATTTGAACCATATCTGTCTACTGGAATTTGAGTTATCAAAGATAATGGTTTTTTACAAAAAAAAATGGTGGCAATTTTGACATTCAGAGGGCATCTTGAAAATGTCTTCTTTAGCAGAGATCCTTTGTCCCTTGGCATCAACATATAAAATTTAAACCAAATACGTTAATTGACATTTGAGTTATCAAAGATTATGTTCTTTAATGAAAAATGGCAGTCATTTTGAAATTCAGCTGCCAGCTTTAAAATTCTTTCTCAGACAGAGTACTGTATCCCAAGGCATCAGCATATAAAATTTAAACCAAAACCGTTCACTGGTATTTTATAGTTATGAAAGATCACATTTTTCTGCAATGAATATTCACATGATCTTTTAATCAGCAGAAATCCAGATTTTTTAATGCTCATCCTGATTTTTTTAAAATCCGTTTTCAAAAACCTTTATGTTATACCGATTTTTTCGTAAAATATCACCATTTATTTCATACAATATCCCAATTTTGTGTTCAAAACTCCTGATTTGTTAACGAGACATCCTGATTTTTCAGTAAAAACTCCTGATTTTTAAATGATACCCTCCCGATTTTCGTTCAAAATTCACGATTTTTAAAAAATGAAAGTAAACGATAGGTTTTGTGATAAAACAAAATACAGTAGCTCACTACACATACACGCTTTTCATCTTGTTTTAATTACAGTATTTTAGACCAGAAATAAATCCAACATTCTGGGACTGAGAAACCGAACAATTGAAACGTATATAAAAGACGTTATAATGAAAGTTGTACTGTGGTGAAAACAAATATGCAAAAGCATTTTTTGTGATAAAAAATAGCCAACTACACATCCAACGTACCGTTTGCTTACTTAATCTACTTTTAACTGTTTGAAACCAGAATTTTATCTAATTGATCATTCTGGGAACCCCCCCCCCAAACCTTTCCCCAAAAATTTTGAATCTTATTCTCCACAAATATTTTTGGCAATAATCAGAAAAATTTTGCATTTTTATAACATATTCTGTCACCCCAAAAAACTGGAATGACTTCAATTCACATCCCACATGATTTTTACAGACCTAAAAATGAGTGCTCACTAAACAGGGTGTCCTAGCAAGACTTCAGGAAATGGGCAAGAATGGGTTTGAAAGTGTGTTTAGAGAGTGGGTGAATAGGCATAAGAAGTGTATAGCTAGAGATGGACATTATGTTGAATAGCTTATTTTTTATAACAATGGGACTTTAGGACTGTTTTTAGATTGTATTTGTGATAGCAATAGACCTGGGAGTATGAATAAAGCTATCAGAAAGAATAAATATGTTTTGGAAAGTTGTGACGTAAACAAACTTGCCTCGCCATTTTGTTGTTTCAGTTGCTATAGCAACCACAACTATGGCCATTCAAATAGAAGACGCTTTAAATTCACAAAATAAAGGTAAATAGGTTTGGGCTACAAACTCTGAAAATTTCATTAAGATTGGTGCAATATTAAGAAAGTTACAATATCTTTCACCTTATTTATTGGACACCCTGTAAATGCACCAATATCCTATTTCTTTTGTGAGATATTTTTCTCACTTTGTAAACCAATGCAAAGCTTGTGAATAGGAGTACATGATCTGAATGGATGAGAGAATTCGATGGGCTGTGATTTGAGAAAGTATAATTGAATTTTGCCATTTTAACAAGCATCTCAAGATGGAGAAAAAAGTAAGTTGCTTTCCCCTATAAATATTTGTCAATGAATCTCGAAATAAAGAACTACAAAAAATACTAGTTTCCTACTTTGAAGATACATCATACACATACATTTAAAGGATAACATTACATTTGACTCTTACACCAATTATTGAAAACATTCTGTAAAAAACATGGTCCTTTATGTAATTTTGACTGATTGACAACAATTTAATGCAAATATTATCTTTATTTATTTTATATAACTGTTTTTGTTAACATTTTTTGTTTTTTAGTGCAATTGCTTTTTGTTCCTTTTTACCAATTCTTGAGGATGAAATAAAATATCTTTCCGAAGGTTGTTGAAACAAAATAGCATACAACATTTTCTTAGACTTCTCAATATCATAGTTGTACAAAGGTTTTGGTTGATTTCACAAAAAGTATTCTAAAAATTAAAACAAAAACCCCCAAAATAGATGTTTCATTTCATTCCGAGCATATTGTTACCATTCAAAAGATGATCATTAAATTAACAATGTGCAAAATTTTCAGAATGTTTTGATGACTGGTTTAAGAGAAACGTGTGTTCAAAAAGTTCACCATATCAATACCCATCCTTTAAGTGATGTCTCAATTGTTGTCTTCTACATGATATGGTCAGTCTTTTACACATTTTGTTCAAACCCTGTTTTGAGGCTACCAGTGGAAAACACTGACCGGATGGTGGTAGGTGGGGTTGGTATTTTTTGTATAACCATTTGAAAGACTAGGAAATAAGTTTTTCCAATCATGGTCATGATCATAATAAGAGATACGAGACGAGACTATCATTCACAGAATGAAGAACATTATAGTGAGATAGTAATACATGATACATGTACAATGTTTCTCCATTGAGATTGTGATTTATAGACTGTGGACTATTCTGTAGAAGTGCTCTAGAAATGCATTCTGCTTTTCATGGAAGGTCACACATTCCAACATATTTCAAACAATCTGTATGATAATGCTGGACACTTTCTGGGTAGTTGGACTTCATGTAGGGGTGGCAGACGACCCTCAGGCCAATTTATACCCCTACCCCAACAAAACCTTGGGGGTACTTTAATACCACCCAATAAAAAGAATACTAATGCATATCAGATATTTATTGTTTTATAGTGGGTAGGGCATGCCATGGTTAGTCAGTGCCAGAAATTTCCAATCTCTGACTTATATGGTTACCATGGAAACAGTTATATCTCATAATCTTCTCAATTTGACCCCGTCCCAAATGTGTCCTTTAGTTCTCAAAGTGAAATATTTGCAAATCTGTTTGGATTTTGTGGCTGCTACTTTGTCAAAAGTTGAATTAATATGTATGTATTCACACTAAAGCACTAAAAACTTGATATAATGATCCCATAAATTAATAATATTTATCACATGTAGTCACACACAACTGCTTTAAGGGAAAAGTGGGCGTGGCACTTTTTGGTACTTGTGTAATTGTTGCAGCATTAAATGAAAAACACATATTACACTAACAACAATTGACATTTAATTAGCATCTACTAACATTGTGTAACATTGTAATATGTTCATTATCATTATTAGATACTTTAAATATTTTATATAAGTGTTATCATGACCTTTCCCTATCATTGGTCATCAATGGTCAAATTAACTTTTAGTCTTTTAGAGGTCCTTAGTCTTTTTAGTTTGTCAAAGTCGTATTCATTGACTTTTACCTAGAATATGAATGGTTCCATTATTAATCAAGAGCTATGAGTTAAAATTGATTAATACATTTGTCAGGGTTAGAGCCATTTTATGCAATTGAAAAGTAATGGACCGTTCCATCCTTTGAGTATGATGTTATCTCATACTGGTGTGATTTGCATACTTGTAACAGTTATGACTTGCATTAAGTTATATGAACTCATTTATCATAAAACAACCCTCCACTAGTATCTCTCATAATACCTCTAAATCATCTTCATATTCATGGCCTTAATCGAGAAGGAGGGAGGGATTTTTTCATATATCGTGCATGAGCGCCACAGTTCAACGATATCTCACTCCGCGGTAATACTAACTAGTAAAGGGGATGTAGTAAACATAAATAAATGATAGGTGAAATGTTATGCCCTGCCTTAATACATAACTAAGATTTCTTATTTTCTCGGACAAATGGTGTCTCACAATTGACTAACTGATTCTATTATCAATACATCAACATCAGGTAATGCATGATCTATCCAATGGATTAAAGATAATACTTGATTCTAATATGGCAAAATAAATCATTCCATGTATGAATTGCATAGTGCATCATTTTGCAGATATTATATGATGCATTCATTGACTCATGGTTAACAAGGTACGGGTATAACTACTTTTAGTATTTCGCAATGAAATATAAACAATTTACACATTTCCAAAATGCTGTACCTTCAGTGATTCCTTCAATATGGATAGTGGTTTGTTATGTTGAAACTTAAAATAATATCTAAACAAACCTGTTTAGTGTATAAGAACAATAAAAGTAAATATATTTAATATCAATTATTATTAGATATATGAATATAACCTAAAATAAGAAATCTTGTTCACGTATTCCATTTTAAAATTGGTTGAATGATTTTGGCACAGTAGAAATGATGACAGTCATAATTTATAACTTATACCTAAGTAACTTAATATTATGCGTAATATGCCCTGATGCTGTAACATAAATGGTCTTTTATAATCAGGTATGACTGAAATTGGACAAGATCTTATAAGGTTACAGTTTCCATATAACGTATGTTCCATATTACTACCCCAAATCTCCATACCAGTAGTTAAGTTTATGAGTCATAATCTCTCATAGTTTCTGATGGCAAATGCCTATCCTTGTCTAGAATATGTCATTTTATCAATTTTATGAAATGATTGTTACATAAAAAAAGTATACATTGTCAATTACACCCCCCCCCCTCCCACACTAAAACTCCATTTTCTTTATCAATCTTTCTACTTCTGTTAATATTCTCTGTCCGGATTCCCCAATTCTACATACTGTCAAGTAAACATCTAAATTTTGTAACAATTTTGTTCTAGCTATTGCTGTTGTTTTGAAATGTTGACTTTTCTTGGGGAAAAATTGTTTCAAATCTGACAGAAGTTTTTAGCCAATATCATTCAATTCATCAATATTCAAAAGCAGAGTTTCGAAATGCCCTTTGTGCCTGTATTTTCATATTTTTTTTACGAGAATCAGAATCTTATTCTACAAAACGGATGTTCATGGAAGTAGCACTAATTATTACATCATTGCTATTAATCGTGTGATTTGATTGGCTAATTCAGTACCATGGGACTAAAAATACCATAGCGTATTTCACAGCTCCCTGAATTATTGGCATATAAAATATGTATCCCTTATTGCCCTGCGTATTGCCCGCCTGGGGATTCTGACAACTGCACCTTCATGATTTTTGCAATATGTATTGCCCGCAGCCCGTAGGTATTGCCCTCCATAGAATGAAATATTTGCTTAATATTTATTACTGCTTCGGGCTAAATATCAATTTTGTTATAAACTGAGCAAAACGCCACCTTTAACATGCAGCTAATTCTCCCATCTAACCAACAGAGCCTCTTTTAACATATCAAAATTTAAAAATTGCCACTGATTCAATTTATTCAATCAAATCTAAAATGGTAATACCTTTTTACTGCTTCGAACTTCCTTATATTTTATTTATACCATAGGAGTAGGATGTTTGTCTGTTTCAATTGATGCTTTCACCAGAAACATGGATATCACTAATTTTGAGTCATATTTAAAATGGTATGCATGAATAGACCTGTGTATTTTATACCAAATAGAAACACTTCCCTGGAGAGTTCTAAATCTCTCTATATAAACAGCCTAGTTTCCCACATCCCTTGTTGACTTTGCTCCCATATTTCCTGTGAAGCTGTGGAACAATTTTCTTGTTCTTCACAATATTCCATTTTACTGTAAATCAATTAATAAGGCCAATTTATATCACCGGCTTCCCTAGGTCATTTAAATGCCTTGCAATTTTTAATCAGCAATAAAGAATAATAGGTGAAATTATCAAATAATGAAAAAGTTGCAAATCTTGCTGTCTCATTGACATAATTTTAAAGAATCTTTAACATTGACTTATTGTTTCAGTGGTCCTTTTAAAGTTCATATATACACAATCTGAACAACATCCAGTCTCAAACACAATCTGATTATCATCAAATTTCAAACACAATCTGAACATCATCAAATTCATTGCAAATGCAGGTTTACTTTAATCCAACAGAATTAATATGATAAATCAATAGACTAAGTGAAATATGTCGAGTCAATGGTAAACACTAGTATCTAGTCCAACTAGCACAAGTGCTGCCATCTACCTACTAGTATCAATCCATCTATCCATATATATAGCACCTAATGAGGTCACTACTTCAAGAAAGCTTTTTCCCCTGTCTATGGTAAAAAATAAATGAAACAGAAAAGTTAGTTTGACACCATTGGTGATGCCCACCTTCTATGATATAGGGATAAAAGGAAGGTTCATGATAACACTTATATAAAATACCTTAAGTATCTAATAATGATAATGAACATATTACAATGTTACACAATGTTAGTAGATGATAATTAAATGTCAATTGTTGTTAGTGTAATATGTATTTTTCGCTTAATGCTGCAACAATTACGCAAGTATCAAAAAGTGCCACGCCCACTTTCCCCTAAAAGTAGTTGTGTGTGACTATATTTGATAAATATTATTGATTTATTGGAGCATTATATCAACTTTTTAGTGCTTTAGTGTGAATATATACATATTTATACAACCTTTGACAAAGTGGTAGCCACAAATTCCGAACATATTTGCAAATATTTCACTTTGAGAGCGAAGGGACATATTTGGGAGGAGGTCAAATTGAGAAGATTTTGACATATAAATACTGTTTCCATGGTAACCATATAAGCTAGACATTTTAAATTTCTGGCACTGACTAACCATGGTATGCCCTGCCTACTAAAAAACTATGAATGTATGACATGCATTAGTATTCTTTTTATTAGGTGGTATTAAAGTACCCCCAAGGTTTTCTTGGGGTGGGGGTATAAATTGGCCCGAGGGCCGTCTGCCACCCCTACATGAAGTCCAACTACCCAGAAAGTACCCAGCATAAGCATACAGACTGTTTGAAATATGTTGGAATGTGTGACCTTCCATGAAAAGCAGAAGTTACAATTATCAGAGTAGTCCACAGTCTATTAATTATAATGCAAAATACATTTGGCGCATGACTTGAATGAAATATGTTTTACTGTATAATTTAAATGTAGCAAAAGTTATAGCACTGATCTATTGATCCCCTCCTCCTGATGTCTGCTACCCTGGACCATCTTTAGGAGTCAATAATATTCTGTAACTTATGTTCATTACCTTTAAGTACTCAAAGATCATATAGCCATGGTCATATTCCTGAAAGTTTGCAGTGACCAGTACACCAGGCAGATTATCTCTCTGGACACCCATACCATTTTCTGAGGTAAAAAACAACTCTGTCATCTTGTACTTCTCCATAGTCTGAAAGTCCAGTTTTAATAATATTTGGTCAGTAAAATATGCCTAAGCTAAGTTCTGCCAATATAGCATGACTTTAAGAATCCCTGGCTAAAGAGGTTACATAACCAATGTATTACTAATATTTGATAGTAATGATGTTATACTTACAGCCTTGAGAAAACTGATATATTCCTTGTCGTTGCCATATGAACCATATTCATTCTCAACTTGCATGGCAACAATAGGCCCCCCTTTGCTGAACTGAAAGTATTGGTGAGAGAATATAGATGATATAAATACAGAGTATCCACAAAAAAGTATACACCAACATCAAAGCCAGATAACTTGAATCCTGAGGACTTTTTTGAGAAAAGGTATAGAAAAGGTACACTTCCTTCCATAAGTTTGGCAACATTTCTCCTCATAGACTTATGTGTTAAAGTCCTCTATGTTTATATTTTTATTTTTGTAACCTGCAACAAAAAAACTGATAATGAAGGCAGGGATGTAATTTGACTTTAATTCCTATACCTCTAAATTTTCAAAACTTTTTCCTCAGTTACATTAGTTCAAAAATTGATGACAAATATGATGAGTTTTTGAAAATCATCAATCCAATGTAAACCAATGGGAAATGGTGGGTTCGGGGCTTATCAGATTTCAGTATATCTGTCAATATCAAGAAAACATTTACCAAAAATTATTTTTATATAGAAAATTAAATTGTCTAACTCTTTTGCATGGTAAGTGTTTAAGTGGATGAGCGCGAACCATTTTTTAGTCCTCTAAATCGCATTATACATGGGTGGAGTACAACCCAGATCCAGATGTATGTAATACATGTGGTATTGATGCAATCACTGGATGGTGTTGTACATGCGATGCCCAGTTGGGAGTAGGGTTGTAGGCACAAGGGGTATAAAAAGCAAAAAGAAATGCACAAAGTCTGACATTTTAAAATCAAAAGATATATCTGAAATGTTGTCATCTGAAGAAGATGATGATAGCTCATAAAATCCATTATTATAATGAACAAACACATGAATGTGCTCATCAACAGTTATGTAAAGTCCAGAGTAACTTTTTAGAAATTGTTATATTCTATGTGTTTTCAAATTTGCTCTTTGTGCTTCCTCACTGTGATATGAAATAATAAATTCAGTATTTTACTGCCACAAACCGTATATGAGTAATTGATCAATATATAATTGATTGATATGGATTTTTGAAATGTTAATTTCTTCATGTGTTTTTTAATGTTGCTCCTTGTTCTTTTTCATTGTGATGTAAATTAAAAAAAACTCAATATTCTCTGCTGACATCGTTTTACAAACTTTTTTGTAGACAATTGATCTCAATCAAGTATTCAATTTTTTTTTTGACTTGTTATATTTTTTATGTTTTCGAATGTTGCCCATTATGCTTTGTCACTATTATGTAAGATAATACCAAGAGGATCAATTAAAAAGTCTTAAAAGACTAAAATAGTGATTATTTTGATAATAAATAGAAACAGTGACAATAATGATATGAAAAAAGTGATTTTTCCTTGAAAAGGTCATTTTATACATGTTAAACTTTGACTGTTCTCGAAACGGCAATCAGCTGACACAGGGTTCTCACTAGGCTTTTAGACTTCTGAGATTCTCCGAACTCAAATGTCTTAAAACCCTCTAGCTCCAGAGTGTGTAAAGTGTTTTTTCGGAGTCTAATTTTACATTTTTTTCACAATATTTATGGTAAAACTCTTGAGATAATACATAAAACTGGATACAAACAAGGAATAGGAAGTCAGAAACCTTTTAGAAATAAATATTGGGATTAGAATAGCAAGATAATCATAAGAAGTATGTTGATATATTACTTATAGGATATCTCTGATCTCACATGGGGGAGAAGTAGTCGCAATACCGCGAAAAAAGTAGCCACAATACCGGGGTCTAAAAATTACCTGGTGAGAACCCTGTGACATATATTATTTTTTACATTTTCATACAACTGACAAGATTGTGTTTTAATATAAAGTTGACATAGTTATTAGAAAAAAATTAATAAAAACCAGGAATGGATTCGAACCGGGATGTCCACGTTCTTGGCGAGTGGTCTACCAGTATACTACATTGACATCACTTATTAGCGGATCTTATCTAAACTTCTAATTAGCTAGTCACGTGACATTCTAAATTTAGAAATCTTCGAAAAATCTAATGGCCGGCTGATCATCCGAGCAATCGAAGGACCAATCATCATAATAACACCTTTATCGTGAGTTTTTTTGCACAGCATTTTCCCCATTTGTTTATTATTGTATATTCTCTCATTATAGCTCAAAATATCACTCCAGACCCCGGCAACAACCCAAGATTGCATTTTTCCAAAAGAGGCAGTTTTAATAGAATGACCTATATTTTGATATATAAAGGTCAGAATGACCTAATTTTGGGATCTGGTTATCAAACAAGTCTCTTCTTTGATATCCTGTACAATCTTTTCTAAATATCTTGGGGGCTAATATAGGGTCTCAAAGACACTAGTCCTTTCTTCTGAAGCAGATCTCCTTTTTCCCTAAACATCAGCATATAAAATTGGAACCAAATCCATCCACTGTATCAATGATTACGTTTTTTACGAAAATGGCGACCATTTTGAAATTCAGTGGCCATCTTGAAAATGTCTTTAGTCTCATTTCACAGACATTGACAAACTGAAACATGACGGATGGACAGACGGACGGGTGGATGGACGGCTTCACTATATCCCTACAACATACCTGTAGGTCTTCCACAAGGGGGAGAAGTTTGCCAAAATAAGCACCAACAGCATCAGTATATGGCTTGTAGGATGAGCGAACCTTCATCTCAGGGTCATGCAGCAACCAACTACAAAACAATAATGCTAGAATCATGGAGATGACTCATTTATGGTTAGAATACAGGATGCAGGTAAAGAAACAAGTTTAAAAACAATTGTAAAAAGATAGTACCATGGGTACTGCGCTCACATGGGAAGGTTTCAATATCTTTAATGTTTTACAGTAGGAGCCTAAGTTTTTTGCACATTATGAAACGTTGTATAATAATTTTGTTCTTGGTAAGCTGAAATTAAAAACATGGGTATTAGCTAAGGATCAATTAAAGGTGCAACAAGTAGTGCAGAGGGCCATTCAACGATCATGGACCAGTGTCAAAATATATTTAAGTTTGGATATTTCATCTAGACTAACATCTATTTTTATTTTCTACAAAGAAACCCCCTAGATAATCATTATTTCAGCTTATATTCCTCTTGAAACATGGTGGATCTTAAAAATATAAAAGTGGACGTCCCCTTTTTGAAGCTTTGAACTGAATTTACCATTTTTAATGCCGAAATTGATAGTTTATCCATATATTTTAAGAAAATAGGTATGTCATAGAAGATGTTAAGCCAACTGTTGCCTTGATAGCTCAGAAAAAGTTAAAATTTTCCTATTTTCTCTCTACAAGCCTTATTGCCCCTTTAAAGCGGGTATAAGGTCTGTGGAGAAAAAAATTGATAAATTTTACCTTTTCTGAGCTATCGGGGTGAAGTTTGGTCTAACATCCTCTTCCTTATTCCTATTTTATAAAAATGTATGCATAAATGGCAATATTCATCAACCAGTAGAACTGGCAAATCGTTTAGAATCTACAATTCCATACAAGGAGTCCCACTCATAGATTTTTCAAATTCTTTCCAAGTCGACGTCGAAACACCTAGCGGTTGAAATGGAAACTAATTTTTCTGGCCGCTCGAATCGATAAAATCTCTGACAGTGTGAGTCTTTTTATGAAAACTTTCTTATAGAAATCACTTGACAATTATTAGAAAGCATTAAAAGTTGAATCCGAAGCGTAATCTAAGATAAAAGTGAAAAAAAATTGCGCGGACAACAGAGAACAAACTTCCGGTTTAATAAAAAATGGCGGAGACGAAAGGAGAAAGGAAGACGAAAAATTGGAGGATTTTCCTTTGCCATTATCGATCGATAAAAGGTATGTGCACAAATTCTTGTTGCATACATGGAAAATAGATTCATTTTTGAAGGCAACAACATATTCAAAGCTTTCATATTTTACGATAGGCCCAGGATCATTGGATACGACTCAGCAGTCGATGTTCCAACTTAAATACCATTTTCCATATAGTGAAGTTGGAATAAAGGAATTTCACAAGCAAACCAAAAGATAGCTTTATACATGATTTTTCTGCAATAAAAGTGGTGGCCATTTTGAAAGGGCCATGTGCAGTATGGCAAGTGATTTTGGAAAGCTGTATGTTTGGTCAAGGGTGTATTTCGACAATACATAGAACATTATATATTAAAACAATATCTTAACTTCAACAAAACTGCATCAAATGAAATAAATCTCATTTGGATTGTAAAGATTTGTAATGGATTAGTAACCCACCTCCTCACTATCCAATAATGTTGACCTTATTATTGAAAAAGAGGACCGTGATTTCCAAAGTTTCTGTGCAAAATTAGATTGCAATATAAGATATCAGTAATTTAATATATAGGAAAGTGGTATTGAATTTTTAAGAATTTTGGTCGCTCTCTGCAAGAAGTGCTGAAAAAATTGCTAATAATGTTCATTTGTCCACTTTCTGTCGATGGACAAGAATTTGCATTTCCGTGAGTGTAAAATTGGTTGTTTTGAATGGCGCCTCTTGTTTTTTTCATCTGCCCCTTGTGCAGAAAGTTACTGAAACCACTGAGTGTGCTATGCCAGGCCCGTAGCCAGGATTTGCCAAGGGTGGTTCACTTTTTGGAAAATTCCAGTGGGGTTCACTTTTGGCAATTGTGGTCCAAAAATGGCCAAAATCACATAAAAAGTGTTCAGAATGGTGAAAAACTGAATGATTTTGAAAGAATTTTTGACCAGGGGGGTCCACTCGAACCCATCACCCCCCCCTGGCTACGGGCCTGCATGCTTACAGTAATCACATACCAAATATGAACAAAATCACTCTACTACTTTTCGAGTTACAGTAAAATACATTAAAATAGTGGCCATTTTGAAAAATGGCCGCCTTCTACCAAAAGTGTCATAAGACAGTGTGCCATGCTTATAGTATTCACATCACTAAACGAGTAACTCCAATCACTTTCCAAAAATCCCAAAGCAATGTTGAAATGTCACATGGATTGTGTTATAAGTTGCATAGAATACTGAAAGAATTACACATGGATAAAAGTAAATTTCGAACGAACGTGTCAATTTTACACACGCATTGAGTTCAAACTCGCATAGGATGGTTCCCGCTCGCATAGGCTGTCACAAACAAGTTGCACTTCACATAGGGTGCGAGATTTTAAGTCACGTGATATTTACATCCTGGTTTCTACAATATGGCGCCCTCCGTTGAAATGTTATAAAATGTAAATTTTAAATTAAAAATATATAACCATAGGTTAGGGAGACGTACAGTGGCCATTTATTGAGAAACTACAAACTAGATCTTTTTATCTTTTTGCGGCGCTGATGTGTTATTTCGTTTAGTGCAAAAGTAACGCGAGATTTATAACAAAATCTCGAACATCTCTAGAAAGCAATTTATGTAACATCAAGGTGTGTGATCGGTACATAAAGGTGTGTGATCGGCACATCGTGGTTTGTGACCCTGTTCGATGTCATTTTTAAACAATGCATACACAAATACGCATGTACAAGTGTGATTTTACAAACATAAAGTGTGCAAACTCGAACAAACCGTGTATGAAATCACATGGATTGTGTATGTATTCTGCTAAACGCTATTCTATGTGTTAGAGATATCACATAAATATAAGATGTCCAATTTTGATACAGTTTTAACACCATAGTCTCTCCTCTTTGCAATGATATGTCATTCATTCACATGTGGTAATGGTTGAGTGAGAAATCCTTCCATTTGCACAGTGGGTCAAAATGGGCTCTGCACCAAGTTTTAGATATTGAAAAAATCAGTGCAAGGGCTAAGTGCCAATGGAATTTCCCCTGACTTGAATTGTTGTGACTTTTTCTTTTGGAGCTATCTCAGGAGCATCTGTGCTCACAATTCCTCCACCAGATATTGCAAAATCTCGAAAAAGATTTTCCCATGGGCTGCTTTTCTTTGCTTTAACCCACACATGATTCAGGGCTGAACCATGCATGACGTGGACAGATGAGCGCATCTTTATGTGCAAGGAAGTGGTGGCAATTTGGAGGGGTATAGGATGTATTCTTGCAAGAGTATGAGTATGAACACTTTACTGTCTATGCCACGCCTGTCACACCTTCTTCCAATAGCCCCTATTCCCCTTGTACTGACTTTTGCAATGTTCCATTACAAAGACTTGGCCCGAAGCTAATTTTGGCCCACTTTGCAAATGGATTGATTACTTGCCCAACCATGACCAAATATCAATTAATGATATATCATTGTAAAGAGGAGACACATGGCTTTATGGTGCATTGAATGAAATCAATGCTGTTATCACTGGTTTTGTGCTTTTCCAAGATAACAATCTGTTGCGTTTTTTTTTTGATACGCACTGTATACTTTTTTTACATTTAAAACGAATTGCTATTACAGTTTTACATATTGTACCTAAATTAATGTAAAATCGGATTTCGTACAATATATGAACAAAAATCGGGCCAAAAGTATTTGAGTTATTGACCGGGTGGACAGACAAATGTACGCACGGACGGATGTGCATACAGACGTTCACGGACATGATTGAAACGAAAATCCTAAAATGTTCTTTTCTTTCAAAGGTGGGCACATTTTCTAATTGACCATGACAAGAAGAATATTGAATGTTATGTTACGAATTTAGTGTCACATTGTCATCCATAGATTGTAGTTTCTGTACATGAAAAATGAAGATGATTACATAAAAGAAATTATTACAATTTTGGAGGGTTCTGTTTCTTTGGTCACCCTGTAAATACTCAAACACATTAAAAATGCCCAGAAATAACAAGATGGCATCATGAACTCTTGAACTAGTAAAATTTTCCGCTGTCCCTCTCTACCCAAAAAGAAAAACGATTGAAGAACTTCTGAATTTCTTTAACTTGATTCTACTGGCCCTAGTTACACTATAGTCAAAACAGAAATGTTTGTGACTACTTTGAATTTAAAAAATAAGCAATCAAATGACTATATTGAAACAGTTTATGTAAAAATAGAAACATAACTTTTGTATATTTCAGATAGTAATGCATAATGTGCAGCAAAGCTGGGGCCTTTTGTAATAATTAGGGAGTTTCAGCCATGTTAATTTTTCCAAAAATAACATGGCAGAGAAGTATCAAAATATAAGAGGACACAGATATGATAGCTAAACTACAAAACAAACTAAAATATACAAAAGTTAGGATAAATATAAATGTTTCTATTTTTACATAAACTGTTATGGTCATTTGATTGCTTATTTTTTAAATTCAAAGTAGTCACAAACATTTCTGTTTTGACTGTAGCACTTTTATTGCCGAAGAATGATCTTACGCCGGATGAATAGCCCAAGTGTAACAGGGTCCATATCGTCTTATCACTGGTGTTATTGACCCTGCTAAAAAGATGGATTAAGGTGCTATGGAAGTTAACAGGAAATGACAAAACAAAAAATGTCAAAACCATGCTGGATCTTGAAAGATTTTTGAACCAAGATAACAGAGTTCTGTTTGGACCTCCAGTCAGTTTAACTAGTTCCACATATCATTTTACATGACTGGGAACACAATGGAAATGGTCAGAATGACCATAAACATGATGAAATAACCTTTTCAGCCCTCTGAAAATGTGACTGAAAAATAGCTAGGAGTAGGTGCTCCGGAAAGGTCACTGAACAGAATCTTTTGACTTTTTCAGAAAATGTGCCCAATGTATTGCTCTAAATGATACAATTTTAAAAAATTTCATATCATTCTTAGAAAAAGAAAAAATGAAAAAAAACTGAATTTAAAATCGATCTATTTTCCTTTTAACTACAGCCATTATTGTTTCAGACGATTTTTTCAAATTTCAAAGATAGCACCTTTATAATGTTAAATTGCCATAGCACCTTAATACAGCGGCTTAAACCACACGCAGGCTTTAAGTGGTGAATGTAAACACTGCAGGGCTAATGCAGGTGTTATTATGTGTGCATGCAAGGTGATCTTGATGTCATAATAATGCCCAGAACTGGGAAAGATGATCTTGATTTTAAACCTGCACCTCGCTCGAAAACGCAATATGTTGACATATATTGTTTTTACATTTCCAAGCTCTAATATAAAGTTTATGTAAATAAAAATTGTTTTTTCTGCGTAATATCAAAGAACAATCATTTAGTTAAAAAAATAAAAAAGTAAATGCGGGATGACCTTTGACCTTGCAAATTTTACTTTTTTACACCTCAGTAGGTCTTTAAATATTAAATATATATTAAACAATTGACCCTTGATACCAAGTTGCTACTACAGTCCAGCTACAGTGGCTTGAGCCTTTATAGCTCATTTGGTACAGCATCAGACTTTGGATCCAATGGTCCTAGGTTTGATTCCCATACGGGGCATCGAATTTTGCACACTTTCTTTCAATTTCTTTATCTGGCTTGTTACACTATGCTCGTTAGTTAGTCATTCCCCTCTTATCGCCTGTTTGGTATTTTACCGTGTCCATAACGGCAATCGCGTGGAAAGACCGAACGGAATGCATTCGCTTTTTTCGCCCGTCCGGTATTTTACCGTGTCGGCATTTCACAAAAAACGATTTTTGAAAATATCAACAAAATGCGTGATTTGCGTGATATTTGATCATACACGCTAAATTGATGCGTGATTTCTATTTTTCCAGCAATTGCGTGACAATCACGCCTAATACAATTGTATTTGCCATGTCTGACAACGGGAAGTTTGAAGGTCAATTAAACATTGTTATTTATAAATTCAGATGAAAAAACTTGCAAAAAACATACATTTCAACATTATCAGTCATTTATATGATCATTTTGAAATAAAGGAAGTGCACTTATATTACTTTTTTAGATTATTTATATGGTTATAGAATTTGACACTGATAACATATAGTGTCATATTTAGCATGTGTTCCTTCCAGTTCGCTTATTTGTTGAGAATAGGTCAGCGTGGTAGATTTGAAATGCTTTATTACCTGGACTGTCACAGGCACCGATCTTGGGAGTGGGGTTGCTTAACTCTAATATAGTCTATGCTAGGCAGAGGGTAGTTTATATCTAGACTCTGCACGTAGGCAAAGTAAGGATATCCCATGTTGAAAATACAAGAATTTTCATGAGACCAAACATCAGTGGATGAGAGTATACAAAATGTAAAATATATGCATTTTAGGGGATATGTATCTTGACAATATTCGTAACTATGGGCTTTCAAATCACTGTGGCTTGGAAGTGGTGATGGAAAAGCAACTACTCATTTATTTATTGCTCAGACTATAGTTATACAACATGTCTCTAACTTCCCCTATATTTACCTGGGTAGACCTCCAAAGTCCCACTCTCCACATATGTAGGGCCCTGGTCTAAACAACACAAGCAGGCCCACCTCTTGGGCAATCTGAATAAACTTTCTGGAATATTTGAAAATATATTCTGTAATGCATGATTAGGTCAATTGCAAATCAATATATGAAACCATCTACCCTTTAGCATCCATCAAATTCATTTTATGTCTTACACCTTACATTATTCTATTACCTGAGATGTTATATCCAATAAATACATGTATATGACATGACTTGCTTCCAAATTGAGGATCAATTTAATAGATAAATATGCAGTTCAACGAACAGACATATTAACTTCAAGTGTCTCAAATATCACTGGTGATCCACTCGATTATACCTGTTACCGAAACGGTTTGTTTCGGAAACTTGAAGGTACGATTTTAATTGTTTCCTTATTTCACATGTTATAGGCAGAGTTCCCACGACATTATCACAGACATGTGTAAGTATCATATGTTTAAGAAAATGTACATGTTTGCAAACAAATAGTTCAGAAGACAACAGAATCCTCAATTTGATACCTCAGTATTGATGGAATGGGTTAGAAAGTGGGGGAGGTACAAAATATTTTGAAGCAAATGTGGGACATATACACATATTTCGAAGCAAATACGTGACGTATATGGAAATTGTGAAAAGTCTGAACTTTTCTATTTTCGTTCGATTTTTTCGACATTCGTTTTTCAACGTATAGGCATTTTATAAAAGGGTGACATTCTATCATACACGCAAAATTTCATTTTTTCCAGCAAATGCAAGATAATCAAGCCAATGCGTGAGGGCTGACAGGGCAGCTGACATGCAGGAAATCACATTTACATAGTACCTGACATCTAGCATTCCCTCAAAGTTAAATTCTCCCCTGACTTCTTCATGAAGATTCCAAGGAACATACCTAAAATGATAACTTTTTGATAACGCATATACACACTGTATACATTTAGATTTAATAATATAAGATTAACTTGACAACAGCAATGCCAAAGCATAGCAAATCCCATCGAACAGCCATGGCTGGCATTTTTACAAACAAAGTATATAGCAAAAAATGGTACTTTCTACCAAATATGTCATTAGACAGTGTGCCATGCTTGTAGTATTCACATACCAAATACGAACAAAATCGCTCCTCTTCTTTTCGAGTTATAGCAAAATATGGTAAAACGGTGTCATTAGACAGTGTGCCATACTTATAGTATTCACATACCAAATATGAACAAAATCGCTCCACTACTTTGCGAGATATAGTAAAATACATTAAAATGGTGGCCAATTTTCAAATTGGCTGCCTTCTACCAAAAGTATCATTAGACAGTGTGCCATGCTTATAGCATTCACATACCAAATATGAACAAAATCGCTCCACTACTTTTAAAGTTACAGCAAAAATTGTAAATAACAAGTAAATGCCGCCATTTTTAAGATGGCTGCCATGTGCTTCTTTAATATCTACATTTCTAGCTTTATTAATGTCCTATATAATTTTTTTACATTTAAAACATATTGCTGTTACAGTTTTACATATTGCACCTAAACTGCTGTAAAATCGGCACTAAAATAGACATCATTTTCAAATGAGTGACCATTTTGTAAATCGGCTTTCAAGAAGAGCTTCTACCCCCATAGCGTATATGTGTACAAAATATGAACAAAATCAGGCCAACGGTATTTGAGTTATTGCCCAGATGGACGAAAGTATGTACAAACGTACGTACGGATGTACGTACGGACGGACAGACAGACGGATGGAGGTGTTCCGTATATCCCTCCGAACTTCGTTCGATGGGATAATAATGCACTATTAATAGGCCGTAGCCAGGATCAAAATTTTGGCAAGACTATTCTTAAGTCAAAATGTTTTACAAGAAAATTACAATTCTACTTGGAGGGATTCAATATGGGTTTTATTCCGAGAGACAATATGATTTTCCCTAGCGGGAAATATCATACGCCCGATGATCGTACAAAATGGATGGAGGGGGGAATAGGCGATTTCTGCAAGGAAACTCAACAAATAAGAAAGATTACTTTTTCAAGAGAAAATTTACAACTGAATTGCCAAATGAATAGCCGCAGTGCATGGCAAAATATGTTAGGTCTTCTAGTATTTTTTTTGAACTGATACGCTTCTAAGATATGAGATCTATTAAAAAAGGTGCATCATCACCAACGTGCAAAAGTCAATGTTTTTGCTATAAATCAGGCAACAATGGTCTACACGACCTCTAACAAATACTGTAGGTATAAGGGACGTTATTATCACAACTCTAATGACATTGTTGACTTTTTAAAGTTAGTCTCCATGAGTATACTAAGAATAATGGAAATAAATTAATATTGGATAGAGGGGGAGTGGATGGAGGGGGGAGTTATATGTCTTTACGATGGAAAAAATTCAAAAGAATTTGTGTAATAATTTATGGTTCCTCTAACTAACCTGAATAACTTATTTTCTTTCATAGCTTTCGGATGTGACTACATCCTTCGTCAGTGACGTACTGTTTGTTGATTTCCCGCCACCACAGCTGTCCTTGACCTTGACCTTGGATTAACTGTCTCAAGTAGCGATTTATCTACGAGATAACCTGAGTCCCTGTTAAAGATGGGCTTATCAAGATGTATGTGAATGGCTTCTTTAACTTTTCTATAGAAATCCTTACCCTCCTTATCGACTATACTATACTCGTTCCAATTGATCCTATGACCTGTGACATATGAATATTAACCTAAAGCAGACAATGTTTCTTTTCCTAATCTTAATGCTGTCTGATGTTCTTTTATCCTAACACCTACTGGTGAAACTGGAGATCCCATTGGGGAACCATGGCATTGTTTGTAAATAACATTGTCAAAAGTGAAGTATGTAGCATTTTCACCAGTGGTAGCAAATCTTTTTATGGAAGATCTAGAGTTGAAATTACTTCAAAGCAGTCAAGATCCACCTAGAATCTGGAAACGCTATGCCGTCACTGACAAAGGATGTAGTCACATCCAAAAGCTATGAAAGAAAATAAGTTATTCAGGTTAGTTAGAGGAACCATAAATTATTATTAATTAGAACTAACAGATGAACATCTTTGGCAGAATTTGTGTATTTGAAAAAACTCAGTACCCAAGTAAGAAACTGGATATTATATCTTTGGAGAATGAAAAATGGGAAAGTTCGGAGTTATAAGAATAAATTCAAGTAGCATGTCTTATCATGGCATATATACACGTTACTCCCCCTCCTCCATCCACTCCCCCCCCCCATCCACTCCCCCCCCCCCTCCATCCAATATTAATTTATTTCGATTATTTTTTGTATCCCTCCATCCATTTTGTACGATCACCGGGCATGATACTGTCACAAGGAATAACCCTATATTTAATCCCGACTTTTCTGAACAAGAAATTTTATTTTATAACAACGCAGGAGATTTTGAGAACAAATGTCATAGAAACACAAGCTTAAAATTTGGAAACTAAGAAGTAGTAAAATCTATAACCAACTAGAAAATGGCAACTCTACGGAGTAGCAAATCCAAATGAACACTATATAAATAATCAATCTGTACAGACACAATCTAATATTTACCATCTACTCTTTCTTTCAATAAATATTTTAGATCATTACTTTCAAGATAACTCTAAGTAATGGTGAATTTCTGCTCTAGTTAGCAATTTTGAATTTTGAAGGCACAAATCAGAGAAACAATGACATAATTGTGATCTACTCTGAAATTCCTTCAATTTGAGTATGATATAGCCATACTTTTAAGAGATCAGAAATTAATTGCGAAATCCCGCATTAGGCAGCCATTTTGAATTTTTTGAGGTCCGAATCAGAAAAAAATGCTACAATGTTTGCAATCTACTCTAAATTGTTTTTTCATTTGAGTATAATAAAACTATACTTCAAAAACATCTCAAAATTAATGCAAATTCCTGTTTTTCCAGCCCCTGATTTACCGCCCCTGGGGGTCAGGGTAAAAAACCCGGGATATATGTGAAATAGATATATGTTGTTAATATACTTCCAAAATTTCAAATAATAATATTTATTTTTTTGGTTTAAAATGAAAAACATAAGATTTTAGCAAAAAATTCACTATATCCCTACTGAACTTCGTTCATTGGGATAATAAGTTCTGTATGCCTGTGTACCATTGTATTTTATGTAAAAATTGTATAAATGTTCTAATTTAGTGAATAAAGTTTATTAATAATATATATAAGTTTATTGGTCTCTTGAACATGTAATGTACATCGAGATATAAGTCCAATAAAGCAAATAACAAAATAAAAAAAACATTCATGTACATGCATGGCAAAACATACTTACAATCTAATTTTAACAATCACTGAGTACTTTACTAAATCAAGCGGTACAAACTTCGACCGTTAATTTAAATTTTTGACCTACCAGGTGTTTGAAAATCAAGGATTGCGAGTCTCATACTGCACCGTTTTTCTTCAAACTTGTTCCATTCAAAGCAAAACAAAATTGCCTTTCTGTTGGTACATTGCTTTATTGAAAAGAGTCGCTCGTTTCAGCAGCGTTTTGGTCCCCAGTTGTGAGAAGCCCTTCTCACAGCTGGGGACCAAAATGCCGCTGAAAGTAGGGACTCTGTATAGCAGAATAATGTACCAACAGAAAGGCATTTTTCTTGTGCTTTGAATGGAACAAGTTTGAAGAAAAACGGTGCAGTATGAGACTCGCAATCCTTGATTTTCAAACACCTGGTAGGTCAAAAATTTGAATTAACGGTCGAAGTTTGTCCCGCTTGTAAATGGCATGAAATGATTTCACATCAGTTTTGTTTAACAACTCTTTGGTAATATTGTGAACTCTTGTAAAATAATAAAAAGTAAAATAAGTCCATCCAATTCGCCAAGTAAAGTACAAATTCAACAAATTTGAAATAGTGTAATTTAATTTGGCTGAACTTACGTTTCTACAGCATTGAGACCACATGCCTTCATCTTGATAAGCCTGTCCCTCCAATACTCTGGTACAATCCTGAAGTAGTGGACTGCCCCGCTGACAAGCACTAGCTTCTCTCCATTGAGAAAGAATGACCTCTCTCTGGCTTCTAATGCAGTAGACATCCTAAAAATAAGAGTGTTGTTTCAATGCCCCAGTAATTTAAGGTGCCGTACTTAACAGGAAATACCAAAACAGGAAGTGACAGAACATGTGGCATTTTTAGACATTTTTTGAACAAAGATAACAGAGTTCTGTTTTGACCTCCAGTCTATTCAACTAGTTCCACATATCATTTACAGGACCAGGATCACAATGTACATGGTCAGAATGACTCTAAACATGATGGAATAACTTTTTCAGCCCTCTGAAAATGTAAGGAAAAATGGTCAAAAAAGACCTTTTGACCTTTTTTTACCTTGAAAAGGTCATTGAAGGTCAAATCTCAAATCTAAAGTCAGATTTAAACTTCTGATAACTTGAAGACGATTTTTTTTACAAAAAGGTCAATTTGAAGCGAGTTGAAAACAGACATTTTTGACCTTTTTTGACCTTGAGAAGCTCAATGAAGGTCAAATCTCAAATCTAAAGTCAGATTTGAACTTCTGATAACTTGTAGATGATTTTGAAAAAAATTGGTCAACTAGACAACAGCAATGCCAAAGCGTAGCGAATCCCATCGAACAGCCATGCCTGGCATTTTTACAGACAAAGTATATAGCAAAAATGGCAGCCATTTTTCAAAATGGTCACCTTCTACCAAAAGTGTCCAAAAGTGTGCCATGCTAACAGTATTCACATACCAACTATAGTAAAATAGGGATCACTTCATTATACCGAAGCGCATTATACCGATGCGCATTATACCGACGCGCATTGTACCGAAGCGCATTGTACCGAAAAATAATATACGATGTGTGTTGACACCGAACTGCCAATTACTCGGGTAGAAAATTTTCTAAGGAAAAAATGACTTAATGAGCTGGATGGAATTTCTGTGTATTTTTTATTTTATGAGGGTGTCCTGCATAAGGGATTTCGCCTGCGAAAGCTCTTGTGAACATATCTAAATACTAGTCCAAAGAAGACATACCTTGAATTTTTTTAAAATGGAAACTACAAAAAGTCAAAATGTTCAACTCAAACAAAGTTGTATCTATTCTATATCAATATTATGTGTTATGTAAGGTTTCTTAGATGTTTCAGGACCTTCATTAGTATACTTGTGTCTAGAAATGTGACATTTAAGGACAAAATTTGGCATTTTTTAATCATTTTCACTTTCAGCAATAACATATAGTTCCTTATATCTTGAGTTTAATGCTGATTGGTGGTTGCATTTTTGATTAAATCTATACTTGTACATGTGTTCTTCAATTTAAGGTATAGAAATTATGTATAGTGGACAACCAATGTTCATATTAGAGCTTTAGGATCTCCCCTACCCCATTTATTATGGAAAATTACTGAAAAATATGAAAAAATAAAATAACTTGAAATTATAAACTTTAACAAAGTTGTAGCTATTCTATATCAATATTTAAGAAATAAAGACCGAAGAGCAGGGGTAATATTGTCGAATACACCCCGCAGGGCTAGGAACAAACGTTCCATACCCCAAACGACCGAAGGGAGTGAGGGGTTCGAAAGCTTTTGTGCCTAGCCCTAAGGGGTGTATTCGACAATATTACACCTGCTCTGAGGTCTATATTACAATTCGAACATGAAAACTCACCAAAATGTTTCGAGTATTCATTATGGTCCGCCATTTCTACGGCCCGCCGTTATGACGTCACACATTAAACGTATTACAAGGGGTTTTGTTCGCGAACATACCCCGAGTGAAATGTTGACTTTGTTTACACTTTAATGAAGGCATGAATACAGTCATGTTCGAATATGTGTTATTTAATGTTTTTAAGATATTTCAGAACCTTTATCGGTATACAAGTAGCTTGAAATGAGACATTTAAGGACAAAACTTACATATAGATCTTCATATCTTAAGTTTTATGCTGTCTGGTTGTTGCATTTTCAATCAAATCTTTTCTTGCACATGTCTTCTTCCATTTAACGTATAGAAAATGTATAGTGGACAAACAATGTTCATATTAGAGCTTTCAGATCTCCCCTACCCCATTTATTATGGAAAACAACCCAAAAATATGAAAAAATAAAATAACTTGTAAACTAAAATAAGTTGTAGTCGTTCTATATCAATATTATGTGTTATTTAATGTATTAAAGATTTTCGGAGCCTTTATCGGTATTCAAGTGGCTAGAAATGAGACATTTAAGGACAAAACTTGGCATTTTTTAATCAATGCTGCTTTCAGCAGTAACATATACACCCTGGGTGATCAATATCCTGTGTTCCGAATTTCGTACCAGCAAGTCAGTGACCCGAGTTGTGTTTTACTGAATCCCGACAAATATGGCGGCTAATTTGACAACAGACGATGTTGATGTCGACAAGTATTCAAAACTTTCTGACAGCATAAGGTAAGACTGAATATACAGGGTGGTCCAAAAAAAATTGGAACATTTGATAATTGAACGCAAAACCTTTATTGTTCTTCTAAAATGCACCAAATTTTAACTGAGCTTGGTTCAGTCACTTATTTATCTGATGTAAAGTTTATGGGTGCAAACAACAAAGTTAATGCATTAAACGAGACAATGTTTGATATGACCCCTCAACTCCTGAATTACAAGTTGAAGCCTGGGACTCAGTTTTGAAATGATTCATTCACCTTGCTGTTCGTTTGATTTTGTCCAAGCCATCTTGATTAAAAAATTCAGCTTGAACAAACTACTTATATGTTTGCCTTGGAAGATCAAATATGTGAACACATTCAACATTTTTTACCCAAATTGATGGGTATCAAGGATATTTTGATGGCTATTGTTAGGTGTATTACTGATTGAATATTCTCAAGAAAGAGGCCAGCGCAGTCTGTTTTGACTGGTAAATGAGCCCCCCTCCCCCTTTCTTGTTCTAATATGGATAATATTCATTGAATATATCAATATATGTATATCAATATCATAAAAGAGTTTCCCAGAACACAAATGATATATTATATGTGCTTAGAGGTGGTCTTGAATAAAGCCTTGTAAATAACTGGTCAGTTTCCCCTTCACTGAAAAGTGGAAGCAATGATTTTGTCACTTTAGTAGCTGCATGGGTTATGCAATCACTCACCTTTTACATGTTCTTTCTTTCCAACTCTTAAATAAAAATAATGATTTGGGGTATTCTTAAGTAAACGATAACACAATAGTTTTCAAGTAAACCATAGATGCTTTTCAACTAAATATGATTTTATAAAATGTGTATAGCAATCAACATGTACATTAAAGCGTTGAAATAAAGAAAACTTGAAAAAGTAGTGGCGAAATTGACAAGTGTATATTTGAGAAAAGGGGGTCATATCAAACATTGACGAGTTTAATGCATTAACTTTGTGGCTTGCACCAATAAACTTAACATCAGAGAGATAAGTGAATGAACTATGCTCAGTAAAATTTTGGTACATTTCAGACGAAAAATAAAGGTTTTGCGTTCAATTAACAAATGTTCCAATTTTTTTTGGACCACCCTGTAGAGTGGTGCATTCGGTGCCTAAATATGTTTGCAACATTTTCTTAGTTGTTTATCCATATGCGTTGGGCATTACTGCTAATCGAAGCATAAGTAAACGTGACCTCATTTTCAACGCTCGCTGGAAAGTATGTCACCGAGTAGTTTTGACCTTCTGTTAGTTAATGAGATAAACTGTTATCATGGTATAATTGCTGGGTAGACGTTCAAAGTATGTACCAACTCGTGCTTCCAGTGAATGTAAACCATTTCTTTGCATAAGCGTCCTAGAAGGCATAATAAGATATATTCCATAGTACCGAATAGGAATCGCCAGTGTATCGACGCACTTCATGGATAAATGCTTATAGACTATTGAATCATAATGAACAGAAGCAGTGTATACTCACGTGTGATATCTTAATTTATCAAAAATAAGAATTGAATGCATTTGATATTGAAAATTAGATCTAGACTGCCGAAAGATCTGCCAGATTACGCATGTGGTGTCAAGGTCGGTGTCACTACAGTAAACAATGAGTATTCTATTAGTATGAGTCTCAGTGTTGTCAGTTGTCACCACCAAAAATATTGTTTTGTTCTGAACCTAAGGGAGCATATCAAAAGATCAATGTCGGAATATTAACTGTATTTGCATAGTTAGGGAGGGCGGGGGTTAATAACCTCAAAAGTTAGCTTACAAACATTGACTAATTTTTATTATAATATATAGTATGACCAACAAAATCAACATTTCTCAAACACAGTTATGAGGGGGAGGGAGGGGGGTCACAGATTAAAACTTATAATGAGATCTTGAAATTTGCCATCTGATAGGCAATTTAATTAAAGGAAGAATCACATCTTTTAGGAGTGAAAAACTGCAAGCAACATGTAAAATTGACCTTCCAATGTACGTATAACTTACATGTCAAATATAGTTTCTCCCAAAACCTCCAGGATATGTCAATTGTTTAAGTTACTTAATATTCAAATGGGAAAAATATTTCAAATATCAAAGTTGTAACAAAGGAAATGTCCCTTTGGAACAAACACACATATCTTACAGTTTCACTAGGTCAGTTATTTTATATTTTAAGAAAAATGTTTCTTTGGTACATACACACATATTTTACAATAACAAAACAAACATGGAATAACTATATTATATGTACATATGTATGAGTGATAGAGAATTCAGTGGATCAGTAAGATGTATCCGAATCCAGACAATCTGAACACAGTATTGCACATAACTACAGACCAGTGCATGAACAAATCAATCACATCATCCAAGGTCATTCCTTCTGTGGTTGCCAAGATAAAAATACTGAAATTGATACTTTGCCAACTTGACTGATTTTTTTCTAGTCTGAGTAATTAATAAATGAGTAGTGGATTTGATTAATTGAGGATTTCCCATGTTAAAATATGTGAAAATTGTCAAGAGGCCACACACATCAGAGGATGAGAGTACAATACAACATGTGTAAATTATGAGACTATGTTGCAACACCTTCAAAGAATGGTCATTTCACAATCC